GTGCTTAATTACAAACAAACAAACAAAATCGACCCAAAGCTGACGTGGGTAAAACATACGAATGATATATTAACAAAAATCTGGAAACGTACAAAAGAATGACCTGCTCTGTGAACTTGATCGCTACTACATACATGATGGAAGTAGGCCTAAGTACCTCTCACCTGTAAACATGTATTTAGTAAATAGGGATTTAATAAGAACACCTATTACTAGACCTCAAACCCTATAGTTGGACTAAAGGGTGTTTATGTAAAATGTATTATATTAGTTTCAAACGTGTGAAATGTGTTGTCCGCATATATGGAACTGTTCGTTAAGTGTAAGACTTTACAACACCGTGATGTTATGCACAACACAAGACCAAATGCCGGCCACGAAACTGAGCGAACTCTAGGATTTATGCAAGGAGTTTAAAGGGTAAAAAACTAAGGAACCTCACCAGATAATATAATCAAAATATACAAAACATATATCCGTCCTGTCATAGAATACCATGTCCAGCATTGTTAAACATAGCACCAAAACACATTAATAAACTCCAATCAATATTCCCTACTCACAACAGCACTCACACCAATTGGATTTGAAAAACAAGGAAAAGTTTCTGCCTGTAGATTATACATAACAAAATGTCCACCTAAACTGATAAAGCCTGTAGAATGTTGGCTACCAGATCTCACACAGACACTTTTCTTTTCACATATGTAAACAGAAAAGTTCCACATAAGAACACTGGTCTTTTTCTGTGTGTTTCTGATGGAACATAGAATAACAATGTCTGTGTGTTTCTGATGGAACATACAATAACAATGTCTGTGTGTTTCTGATGTAACATAGAATGACAATGTCTGTGTGTGTTTCTGATGGAACATGGAATGACAATGTCTGAGTGTTTCTGATGGAACATGGAATGACAATGTCTGGGTGTTTCTGATGGAACGTGGAATGACAATGTCTGGGTGTTTCTGATGTAACATAGAATAACAATGTCTGTGTGCTTCTGATGGAACGTGGAATGACAATGTCTATGTGTTTCTGATGGAACATAGAATGACAATGTCTGTGTGTTTCTGATGGAATATAGAATAATATTGTCTGCGAAGGTCCAATTTTTTTAAAATTCAATATTATCTTCATGTGTTTAATGGTGATAACAATTCATTTTCATATTTGGACATATATTTTATTGATCGCTTTTTATTGGTTCTGTTGACTATACTACGTGTCTTATGTACATTCTTACAAACCAATACATTTCTTAACTGACGTAACACGTGTTGATCAAAACTATGTGGTTATTGTACTTTTCGTAGTGCAAAGCTACACAATTAGCTATATGAGCTCTATCCAACCTGAGGAATCTAACCCTATATTTTAGCGTTGTAAGGCTGTGAATTTACCGCTGACCCACCGGGGGACATCATGGGTTATAGAAATACATATACTTAAACTAGTACACCAATATCACCAACTAACGTTATTGGTTATTTTGGGGCCTGATGCCTATTTCATTCTCCATTGAAAATTTAGAAAATAATGTACATAAGACATGTAAAATATTCAAATAGAACAGAATATAGAGCGATCAATAAAATATCTGTCAAAATATGAAAATGAATTATTCTCAGTGTTAAACAGACGAAGATAAAATAGAATTTTAGAAAAATCTGTACTTTCTTCGTGATTGAGAATTTATATTTGTATGTTTGGATTGATTCTATTGCTTTAATTTTATATTGTTCTCAACAATATAAAGAATTTTCGTTTCTAACCAATCAACTCCGTGATTAGTTTCTAAGACGTTTTCATCCAAACAGGATTGGTCAGTTTTGTTTATGTTTGTTTAAACAGTATTTTCAATTACGAATTGTTTGACAAGTATATACAAAGTTACACTTAATATTAGGTAGACCGTTTTTATATAAGAGATTTAATTTATTTTTTTAAAGAAGAGAGTATATTACTGATTTTATTTATTGGTCTACAAGAAAGGTCTATAAAAGAAAGGTGATGATTATTATCAGAAAAAAATCAAATAATTCTTTAAACTAAAGTATAAAAAAAGACCTATATTCCGGGACAAGGAGTGACAGGAATCGCTTTTTGATGGCTCAGTGATTCCAGAAGGTTTGCGATATATAGTGGTATTTCGCAAACCACAGTTATGTCTTACAGTTAAATCATCTAAGAAAGATATTGTTCATTGGAGACATTATGGGACATTCTTTAATAGATTGTTTAGGCAGAGTATTCATGATGAAACTTTGTAGAATGGACGGCAACTGCCTGTTGTAGAGACACAAATGTAGAGGACGACCTAGCTACCATTGGTTGAATCTACAGGAAATCTCTCCTCCAATCAGAAACAGGGATAAAAAAAACAATCATAACACGCTTTCTACAATCCACCAAAGTACTACAAAGACCGACAACACCTTACACACACTGATATATATATATTATTATTTTTCTTCTTCTTTTATTTAATTTTTTCGCCCACTTGGCCCAATTAGAACGATGACCAACCATTGTACGAACTTCTAATCTTTAACCTCGTGCATGGTGAAGGAGGATTGCTAATCTTCGAACATCCTTGGTGATAAATAGTTTTTTTTTCTCTAAACTATTAACTTTACACCAAAATAACTGCCATAGACCATGGACACACTGACCCGAAGACGAAAGGCGGAAGACTTTTGAAACGTCATCCTCTACACTTGTCTCTCTACAACAGGCAGTTGCCGTCCATTCTACAAAGTTTCATTATTGGACATGTTTTGAAATGACTTTTTGGAATTTAAAGCGATTGGGTAGGGGGTTAGTGTCGACCGAGTAGACTAACTTGCCGGTTTGCCAGTACTTCTGAAATATCGTAAAAGTTCACTACAGTAAAAATAATAATATACGATTAATAAATAAATAATTAGGGTTAAAAATAAAATGATAATGTGCTGTTAATCCGTACTTTAATTCTGATTCAAATAAAACTGATAATAATTAAACATAACTTGAACTTATAATATAACATAACGTTTTGGGAGAACATGGGATCTATTGGCCCATCTCGGTTGTCCCATCTTCTAAACTAAACTAAAACTATTATAAAAAAATCTTAAAGCCAGCCCTCATCATTCATATAGTTATCAAGCTTTCTCTTAAACTCACTTAAATGTACTGCCTCCACAACATCCGAAGGCAACCCATTCCAAAAGCCACCCACCCTGTTAGAAAAAATATAACTGTCTTAGCTGAAAATGACTCCTATCCTGCCAAAATTTATACTTTTGTCCCCTAGTTCTACTATTCTCACTGTTAGGCATGAAAAAGATGATGCATCAACACTATCAATTCCCTTTAAAATCCTAACCCCTTTTCTTTGGGCAATGACAAACGAACCATGAACTCTCGGATTCATAGTCCAAGCACGCTTACCACTTGGCCACGCCTAGCCTGTCATAGTTTATGCATTAAAAAAATATATTTATTTTATATACCAATGAAACATTTTGCAAAAGAAGTATATGAATATTTTTATACTCACATCTCTAGGTGCTTCGTGTTTCAAACACTCGTAACGGCTCCAATTCCCTGTTAAGATTTTAAATATGTTAATTTCAGTATTTATTATCTGTACATTATTCTGCATTCTTTATGATGTGAAAATCGTTTTTAAGTTATGTTATTTTCATTAAGCCTAATGTTCTCCTATGGCTTGTACGTTACTATTAATTTCGTCCGAAGTCAGTCTAAAGTTTAACTAGTATGTTTTATTTACTTAGGTTAAGTGTCTGTCTGTGTTGAATATACAATACATAAAATCCTGATAGTATTTAATGTTTTATTTGAATAGGCTAGTTGTCTGTCTGTGTTTGGCCTTATGTTTTATTTAATTAAGTTGTATGTCTGTCTATGTGTGAGCTGCATAGTTTATTTAATTTCATTAGTTGTCTGTCTATGTGATCTGTATGTTATATTTAATTAGGTTGGTTGTCTGTTTGTACTTGGCCTGTATGTTTTATTTAATTACGTTAGATTCTGTTGTCTGTGTTTTCCTGTATGTTGTATTTAAATATATTAGTTATGTTATATTCAGTTACGTTAGATTTTCTTCATTAGCATTAAAGTGAAATTTTTATTACATTTACACATCGTAAGGTGTCTTATAACTTCTATATATGTATCAATATATTTTACACTGGAGACATTATTATGTGTATCTTGAGCCATGGTATTTCTGATGTCTTTATTCTAGAATAAACTGTTTTGGTAAATGACAAACAAAGACATACAAATACACTTGTTGAAAACTTATACAGCAAAGATATTACTAACAACTCTAACGTCAGCTTAAGTAGACGTATATACTAAACGTCAATACTAAAACCAAGTCCTAACCATACTACTGCAATTAGCGACGTAGCTAAAAACAATCAATTCGATACATTATTTCTTTAAAACAGACTTAATAAATAATGCAAGCTTACCGCAAAAGAAGTTCCTTACGATGAGAGCTCTTACTGTCTATAGGGAAAAAATGATGTCTTAACTTCAACAATTGTAATACGGGACATAATTATATAACAGAAAAAAATATTAAAGATTTGACTGCAAAATTAATAGAGATACTTTTCTTGGACTGAAATAGTATCCAAAATCCAACGGATTTGAAGTAAACGGAAAACACTAGAAGATCAATAAGGTGTAAGTTTAGATCTGTTAATAAATTAAAACGACACTTGTGCAATATATATTAATAGGAGTGTAACGTTAAATGATCGCACAATAAATAATTTATTAAAAGCAGGAACCAGCCATAAAAAGACTCTACAAGCTTCGGTGTTCTTACTCCTGAAGATGGTGGCGTGAAAACACCGAAACATGTAGAGTCTTTTTAGGGCTGGGCCGTTTTTAATAAACTGATTGTTGTGCGATCATTTTGACGTTGTACTCCATTTAATTGTATATATTTAGTTCTGTTATTTTCTAAAAAAAAAACATCCTGAGGATCCTTTTCCTGGCCTGAAATCGTACAGAATGTTTGCTACAACTGAAGATCAACAGAGTATAAGCATAATTCCGTTATTCAATGATGTCCAAGTGGCATTAGAAGAAGAAGAAGTCCTGAATGTTGTTACATGTCAACACGTGATTTCTCCTGACGTTTTAATATATACTCTAGATCTAAACACTTTTATTGGATCCACGAAAAACTCTATTTAGAGGTTATGTTTATCCTTAACAATCTGAGATATGAAAAAGTTATGTTTATCCTCAACAATCTGAGATATGAAAAAGTTATGTTTATCCTTAACAATCTGAGATATGAAAAAGTTATGTTTATCCTTAACAATCTGAGATATGAAAAAGTTATGTTTATCCTCAACAATCTGAGATATGAAAAAGTTATGTTTATCCTCAAAAATCTGAGATATGAAAAAGTTATGTTTATCCTCAACAATCTGAGATTTCAAAAAATTCAATAATCAGAATTACATCTTCGTAGACTAATTAAAGCAATGATAGCCTGGCTGGGCGTAAAGAGGATTATGTTATCCAATACACATATTAGATCATGAGTTCCTGTAACATTAGGAATAAAAGATAAACGATATTTACTTGAAGATACAAAGAAACATCACCATTTAATGGTTTAGAACATGAACATTTCCAATCAAAATAATTACATCTCAAGCCAGACCAAAATACACTTTCATTGATTGCACTGATTATTCATTGTCTCAGCTTATGTTAAATAGGTTCCTGTTTTTTGTAAGACGATTTCAATAGAAATATTGATTATGCTAATTCTCAAGTAATGTCTGACACTTTCTCTTGTGTGCGTTAAACAATGCAATTAGAAAAAATGATTAGCATTGTTTCGTCTTATGTTAAATAGTGTAATTAAAGACACTGATTGTGTATTGTTTTGGTCTATGTTAAACAGATCCATGTTCTCTGTAAGACAGTGTAATTAAAGACACTGAATGTGTATTGTTTTGGTTTATGTTAAACAGATCCATGTTCTCTGTAAGACAGTGTAATTAAAGACACTGATTGTGTATTGTTTTGGTTTATGTTAAACAGATCCATGATTTTCGTAAAATAGTGTAATTAAAGACACTGATTGTGTATTGTTTCGGTTTATGCTAACAGATCCATGTTCTCTGTAAGACAGTGTAATTAAAGACACTGATTGTGTATTGTTTCGGTTTATGCTAAACAGATCCATGTTCTCCATAACACAGTATGACTAGAACAGTAACTGAAGTATAAACTTTGCCATTGTTTGGTCTCTGTTATGCTTTTCAAAACTTTTGTTTTTCACAAATAGTTAGTCACAATATATATAAAAAAAATCTTACAAATGAATTATCTAACATTAGTAGCATATCAGTATAGGTAAGTGAATTGCATTTTTACAAATGAGAAAAGTATTCAACCGATACGAAGTATAACATTCAGCGTTTCTATCATATTTATAACGTATTTATCCAGTTTACCGTGACTTAAAATACACACTTTTTATTGATTTGCCAAGAATATAATTATGTTTTTATTGTATTTAAATAATGAACATTTTTAACATTTTATCTCTAGTTGCTTTCAGCAACAAACAACTGGTTAGGTGTTTTTCCAACACAACAATGATTATTTTGTACTCTCCAACAGTTATTGGCTTTCAGCAAACAAACAACTGATTAGGTGTTTTTCCAACACAACAATGATTATTTTGTACTCTCCAACAGTTATTGGCTTTCAGCAAACAAACAACTGATTAGGTGTTTTTCCAACACAACAATGATTATTTTGTACTCTCCAACACTTAAACCAGTTGTTTGTTTGCTGAAAGCCAATCATTGTCGTGTTGGAAAAACACCTTTACTTTGTACTCTCCAACTCTTAATGTTCATCAAATAGTTCTAAACACTCAATAACTTCTCGTTTGATTAATAATAATTTTAAACACCAACAATACAATTTGTTAACATGTTAAAATAAAAGTACCTTTGATGATTAACATTTTGGAAGTATAAGCCCTTCTTCAAGGCCATAGTCCTAGAGCTGATTATTGTATTATAATATAGTTTGAATTCTTCTACGTTTCACTAAATGACGAATTATTTTTTATTATCTTTGCTTTCAGCAATAAGACCACCAGAACTAAAACATTACTGAAAATGTATTGTAAAAATTATCATAATAATGCTGGCACGTTTTGTTAAACACTATTAGCATTATAACAATATTTGATATACAACTTACCAGAACAACTGGCGTTTCTTTCGTCGTAGTTGGTGTTACTGCGTTTTGGCATTCCTAACGTAAAAATAAACGTTTCACATTTCGAAATTAATACGAAAGATCGACATCAGCATAATGACATTAATATTGCTTCCCATGGTGTGAGAGTTATCATGTAAATCCAAAAGTGCTATATTAAAGGTTATAAATAATACATAAGATCCCATGGTGTGAGAGTTATCATGTAAATCCAAAAGTGCTATATTAAAGGTTATAAATAATACATAAGATCCCATGGTGTGAGAGGTATCATGTAAATCCAAAAGTGCTATACTAAAGGTTATAAATAATAGATAAGATCCCATGGTGTGAGAGTTATCATGTAAATCTAAAAGTGCTATACTAAAGGTTATAAATAATAGATAAGATCCCATGGTGTGAGAGTTATCATGTAAATCCAAAAGTGCTATATTAAAGGTTATAAATAATACATAAGATTCCATGGTGTGAGAGGTATCATGTAAATCCAAAAGTGCTATATTAAAGGTTATAAATAATAGATAAGATCCCATGGTGTGAGAGTTATCATGTAAATCCAAAAGGGCTATACTAAAGGTTATAAATAACAGATAAGGCCCCATGGCGTGAGAGTTAACATTTAGCTCCAAAAGTGCTATATTAAAGGTTATAGAAAAATAGATAAGACACAATGGTGTGAGAGTTAACACTTAACTCCAAAAGGGCTATACTAAAGGTTATAGAAACATTGAGAAGACACAATGGTGTGAGAGTTAACACTTAACTCCAAAAGTGCTATACTAAAGGTTATAGAAAAATGAATAAGACCCCATGGTGTGAGAGTCAACACTTAACTCCAAAAGTGCTATACTAAAGGTTATTGAAGTTAGGACGACGCACACCTAAGGTCTGTCTAAGCATTTATCCTAGTATATCGTAAGTCAGAAGAGTTTCATAACTGTATTAAATATTATCAGAATTATAAAAGACGAGCGCGCAAATACTTGATCATTGTTCCATAGCTAAATACAAGAACAAAATATATCCTTTCACAACCTTAAAGTAGTATTTCCAATTTCACAGAGCATGCGCAAACCAGGCAATACTGCGCGAGAACCGTGTCTTCCATTCACGTGAACCACCACATGTCTTAAAACCTAAATGATTATATTACAACTGATAAATTATGCTTTAGGTGCTTATTTTAATAATTGTGTAAAACTGAAACTGAAACTTACCTGCATGTAATATGGTAAACTACCTTTCCTAGTCGCTTCATTGGTATTTTCAATTACACAAGCTGCCCACTGAAAGAAGTTCAAAACATGAGTGTTATTGTGACTCACATAAGTGCCTACTATATGCTAGCAGTAACAAATAGTTTCAGACTTATATTTAACTATATATCGGAAATCCTCCTGCAAAAAATGTCTTAATAACTCACAGGGGAATATACATAAATATCCCATTCAATTTCTAACTTCACTCCTCACACATATATGTACAGACATTTGTTCTGTTTACTGGATTCACAGATAAATCAATGTGAACTGTCATAAGATCTTATGGCTATCGTATCGAATTTGTATTTAAACACGAACAGCACCCCTTGGATTTAGGCTTACTTTAAATGTTAAAACTATCTGCATGATGTGTGTTATACTTTTAATCTACAACATATTACTAGGACACAAGAGATGTCGTACACGAATATAAACTATAGGGCGAAGTAATAAAGTCTATTCTGTTTATTGTTAAGTATAAAGCTACAAACTGGGTCGAACTCCAAATTTAGATACAAGATTTAACCACCGTCTACAAATCTCACATGTGGTGTCGATTTAATCCCCTGCTTACTACTAATGAATCGGGAAAAGAATAAAACAAATTGTGATTAAAGAGACCCCATTATTGTTTAAAGTATTGTTCCAACTACAATAAGATCGAAACTTGAATTAAAAGCATAAAAATAACTGAAAGCAGGGTATTGCCATGGTGCTCTGGGTGTGGTGGGTACCTACTTCAGATCCCACCCCCCACCCCGAGAAAAGCACTTCACGTTTAGAATCATGGGTGTATCATAGTAGTGACAATCATTTCCCACTATTCTTCCCGTCAAGAGTTGGCAGTAGATGATGTCTTCCCTCTTGTACGTCCGTTCAAAATTGGGGACGACTATGCATCCATAGCCCTTGTGTAGCTTTGCGCTAAAACTCTAAAACAAACATATCCACCAAGATATCTTTATATTCCTATTTTGCAGCTTATCTCTTGTTGTTTTGTTTGTTCTGAGTTTGTTACAGTTTTAATTCAAAGTCAATTAAGTTTTAGTTTATATATGTGGCGAATGAAACGTAAGAACAACAACAACAACAAAAAAAAAACAGTTATTTCTGTGGCTATTAAGGATTTGTGAAATATGGCATGCTTCGGATTTTGAACATCTTTAGATAATTATTGGTCGTTGATTAGTTAGTTTAAATAACATCAAACTATAAAAAAGTCATTTGATAAGAGACGAAAATTATTACACTGTTTTTCAAAACTCTGTTATTGGCAAGTTCATAAAATACACAAGTATGCAATTAGGAGGAGGAGGAAAGAAAAAACCCTTGATTGTAATTTTCATCGTTCACGAGACTAAATACCTTGCTTACATCACTATGAAAGCTCTACACAAAGATCAACTCAGTTTCATTAACTCACTGACAAATCACTTGACTTCCTAGATTTCAAACTAGTTATGGATAAATCAACTTAAAGAGAGTAATAATATTTACATCACGCTCATGTTACATGTTCTTTTTTCATGGTCACTCTATTCTAATCTTTGGGCAACATTGCAGTTGAATTTTATTGTTACATGTTCTTTTTTCATGGTCACTCTATTCTAATCATTGGGCAACATTGAAGTTGAATTTTATTGTTACATGTTCTTTTTTCACAGTAACTATTCTAATCTTTGGGCAACATTGAAGTTGAATTTTATTGTTACATGTTCTTTTTTCATGGTCACTCTATTCTAATCTTTGGGCAACATTGCAGTTGAATTTTATTGTTACATGTTCTTTTTTCATGATAACTATTCTAATCTTTGGACAACATTGAAGTTGAATTTCACCTGACTTGTTCTGCTCATTGTTTGAGAATCTGGGTCTGTACAAATAACATCAAGAAATTCATCTGTACTAACTCCAGGAAACGACTTTTTCATACAACCATCCAACATGGTCAGCTCCTGTAAAAATGAAAAAATAGACTAAAAGGTTTGAGTTATATATATTTGTATTAAAATAGAAGTGTTATAATCAATTATCATTATAATTATCTCATGTGACAAACCTTACAAAATCTTTACCATATTTTTTTTTATTTTTTCTTAACTTAACAAAATAATGATAATGTTGAAAGTTATTCACAAAGACGAAGTTGCTTTCATTTCCAGAATTTCACAAGTAAACTATCCAGGAATTACAGGAACTGCGTTTATGGTGCTAGAGTAAGTTATTGAAAGTTGTGAAACTTGGATGTCATGTGTTCGTTTTATACGATTACATTTTGTATTTTCACCCCCACCACAAATGGTAAATCCAATTGCGAATCTCTTTCTCTTGTTTCATGTATATTATTTCACACTGATGTATATTCTTTGACATTTAAGTAATTTAACCATAGAATTACCCATCGGCCTTTTTTAAACACATATTCCTTATCTATTTATGCACCAAGTTCTTTGCGGGTCCATAAATTTGATGGTTACAGGGCCCTATTAGCATATGGTTAACACATACACACACAAAATATCATATGGCTAACACATACACACACAAAATATCATATGGTTAACACACACAAAATATCATATGGTTAACACATACACACACAAAATATCATATGGTTAACACACACACACACAAAATATCATATGGTTAACACATACACACACAAAATATCATATGGTTAACACACACACACA